AGTCACTAAACCTAAATTAGAAACTTAAAGCTACATCTTTTCATCTAAATCAAAATTTAAAAAATGTTTTATGAACTTGATTGATGTGCCTTTTACACAAGCTCGTCTTTTAATTTTGCTTGCATCTCAACCCCAGTAGACCTTGGTGCATTGTTATGCTTTTCATTTGATAAGACTTGGTTATATGTGCTTGTTGCATGTCAGGTATAGTTCTTATTGGTGAGATCGGTGGTACTGCAGAAGAAGATGCTGCAGCCTTGATAAAGGTTAGTGATAATTGTAATACTAATATCTATCACGAAGTACAATGTTGTTTGCAATTAGGACTGATGTGTTATATGCTGGTCATTCTTGTATGTGATGGAATAACTGACATGCTCTTTGCTGGGTCATCTTTTTATTATGATGATTTTATATCTGGGTCCGCCACCTTGTTTGCAGATTGTTTGTGTCAAATTCTAAACCATGGTTAAACGCCATATATGGAATGGTAACTATTTGTTTTGTAGTTTTAAGTTAGTGCCTGTACAAGGATTAGTTTAAATTTCACAGTAAACCTACTGTATTAGGCAACACGAAAGGTTATGTTCGCCCGACCTCTCCTTACCAGGAAATCGCAAAGATCCATCTTTAGCTATCCCAAAATATGTCTTACTAAGTATTGGAGGAGTATCAAGGAATGATATAAAATTTGCTCCAGACTAATTATGCTCTTTTGAATTTCCTGTATGTGCTTTTTTATGAATCTATATTCGATAATACTGTACACCTTCATGTATTTTCCCTTGAAATATCTGGATCACTTATTTCTTTACATTAGCAAACACTATATTGTTGAGAGGAAAAAGATGTCCATTTTCTGAATGTTGGGATACTTGCCATGTCAGTGAATTGTGATATGTTCTTAAAAATCTATTTTTTTAATTGTTTTGGCATTGGTGGGAATTTATGTGTCTTTCGGCTCCTTAAACAGGAAAGTGGAACTCAAAAGCCTGTTGTTGCATTTATTGCTGGACTAACTGCTCCCCCTGGACGGCGAATGGGTCATGCTGGAGGTACTGTTCTGGTTCAGCTAATCTACTTGTGGTTTTTTTGATTGACCTCCTCTCTGCTAAACAAAAATGGGCAGGAAAACGTTGGTAAATTAATTTTTTCAATAAGGTTGGAGTAGCATTTCTGACTGTAGTTAACATCCAAAGCTAAGCAAGTACAAAATTTATTCTGTCCATGTTACAGTAACTGTAATCAGAAGTTAAGAAAGAAGTCCTCTTAACTGCATTTGATCAATCCATGCTTTAAGGATTCTAATCTGATGAACTGTTATATCCATTCCCCAACTCCCTCAATTAGAAAGAACACAATATTTATTACTTGTAATAGCAAGGTGGCAGCTACCGCGTTGGATTTAACAGGCTTTCTGCACTGTCAACTTATCCCTGCCTCGAAGTCTGGGAAATTGCTTAAATTCTCATCCACTGGGTAAGTTTGGTAATCCAAATTCACCCAGAGAGATTTGATTTTCTCAGTTCACGAGAGTTGATAGTTCTCAAATTACCGAGGACATGACCCTCGATAGAAAGGTGTGGAGGTCGAAAACTAGGGTGGTGGATTGATAGACAGTCTAGAGTTTTGCCTTGTCTTACCAGTAGTAGTAGTAGTAGTACTAGTCGGGTACCTTCCTATTCCTAGTCCGTTGTTTCTATAGGGTATGTCAGTATTAGCAGTAGGATTTGCACTATTCTTGTAGTTTCATATCCACGGATCTGTCATTATTCGTTTGTGTTATTTGCTTATACTGTCTTATCACATTGTTGTTGCTATTGTTTCTCTATTGCTCCATTTTTTTTTACGTTCTTGAGCCGAGAGTCTTTCGGTAATAGCCTCTCTACTTTCATAGGTAGGGGTAAGGTCTGCATACACGCTACCCTCCTCAGACCGTGAGTTGTTGTAATAGCAACTCTCACCCTTTCGGTTCGTGAGTTGTTGTATTATTGTCTTGAAGAGTTAATGTTTCATGTGCTGTAAAAAGAAGTCTTAATTTCCTTTTCTAAACCGTGATCTGTCTTGCTCATGCAGCCATTGTATCTGGTGGAAAGGGAACAGCACAGGACAAAATCAAGGCTCTCAAGGAAGCTGGGGTTACAGTATGCGAGTCTCCTGCAAAAATCGGGGTCACAATGCTTGATGTGTTCAAACAGAGGGGTCTTGCATAAGCAAGCGGCATACAATTCATTTGGCAATTTTTCTTTTTGTGCAGACATGTGCTAAAAAAATGTGTAGTTACCCTCAAAACTCATATTTAGCCGAGAATAACAAAAGAGAATACTTTGAATCTCCATTTGTTTTTCCAAGCATCATTCAGAAGCTCCAAAAAGTTCTCCTTGTTGACTTTTCAGTTTACACTACCAA